TCCCCGTCGAGCGAGCGAGCGAACGAACGATACGGCGCGCTCATGACTCCGCGTGTGGATTCGCGAAGGGGACGAAAATCGTGCAACGATATCGATAGCCGGCGATAAAAGATACTACCCCCGCGCGGTGAGCTTCCGGCGCGCGTCGCATTCTCTCCTCCCTTCGTCCCTCTCTTCTATACATATCTTTCTTCTTCTTCATCCTCTCTCTCTCTCTCTCTCTCTCTCTCTCTCTCTCTCTGTACACGCGCAGACACCACGGGCGGATGAGGGGGGAGGAAGAGATACACGCGTATACACGGGGGGCTCACGCACATCGCCACTTCCCTTCCGTGTAATGCCGTTAATTTGGTATTGTAGGCGATCGTGGCTAATGGTTTCCAGCCGGGGAGCACCCGAGTATCGACCAAATTTCGATGACGCCGTATTATCGTCGTGCTGAATGCGCTTTAATGAAGCGTGCATCCAGTCGAATAACGAACGTCTATAACGACCCGGCCCAATTACGCCGGCAAGAAATCGCAACAATGTCGCGCGACCGAGCGAGCCGAGCGCGTCACTTTCGCCGAAATGTTTAGACGGGGGCAAAACTTCGGGGGCGGAGGAGGAGGGGTCGTTGGTCAGGAGGAAACGTGTCGCAAAACAGCGAGGGGCGAAACGGCCAAACTTTGGCACTATTAGCGTCGACGAGATACGAGGTGTTCACGCGGTGTACACGGGGGCTCTCTATGGGAAATCAACGATCCCACCCCCGGGATATCCTACTTGGGTTTAAACTTTACACAGGTTGATTTTTAACACAAATATTAGGATATGAACCTCGGCGAGTCGTGAGCGTGTATATATATTCTTCAACTTTAAACACGGATCTTATTTTATGCAATGTGAATATATTAAATATTTGATGTCAAAAGTTTTGCGGTAAAAACGCGAACGAGATTAACTTTGTCAAACAAAGTTTATCTTTCGATATTTGAAAGAATCCACATCTGTGCCGGAAACAGATTGTGAGGATTAAAAATTCGATTTGCAATATTCCAACACCTTATACAACGTTTCATCGCTTTTTTTTCTGTAACATAGAAATATACGAAAATATTTTCTGTTAAAACGTCCATTTTAGCCCATTTCGCAGAGCACA